ATACAAAGTTCAAAAGAAATCCAGTCATTTATTAGGAGCAACATTTTGGCATGCTCCTCTGCATAGCCGAAACTGATTCCGGTTAATGGTCTCTGAACTTTACCCCTGTGTCTCCCCTGCAGCAGGCTGTGAACTTTGTGCCTCACACGCCTTCTGTAGAAACCTGAGATCCAACTTTGAAGGTATGCATGGAGTTCTCCCTCTCATGTCTACTTGATAATAGTCATGAAAATGCTTTACAAGTTTACAGCGGCGTTGGCAAACCCTAGATGTCTGACAGATTCTGAAAAGATATATCAAAAGGACAGCCTCATTCAGGAGATTCGAAGCACTCTTCATCTCCTTCCAGCCATCTTCGATGGGTTGCAAAGTCACCTCTTCATCCATCAGACACTGGCTCAGAGCTTGCATCACCCTTGTCTATAATCACCAGGCCAAGCCATTGCCAGATCGAATAATGGCTCACTCCACGAGAAGTGGGCTACCACTGCCACCTGGCCGATGCAAGCTTTGATTGAGGAGATCTGTAGGGCGGCCACTGAGTCTCGCCCGTTCTCTTCATACACAATTATAAACTACACAAGTTTGCATCTGCTGAAGCAGCGTTTGGGAGATGAGTGTTACAGAGAGTTCACTCCAGCACGGAGACCTCCAGCACATCTGTTTCCCACCCTAGGGACAATTAGCTTGGGTATGTCCCATGCTTGGACTCTCCAAGCAGCATTCAGGAGAATGATCGTTGCCTTACCTGAACTATCATTCAAACCCTCCCTAGGGTCTCCTGCTGTCATGGACTATTCCCCCTGTCTCACCTTTTTGCCTACAGCAGTGGTAGTCAACCTGGTCCCTACTGCCCACTAGTGGGCATTCCAGCTTTCATGGTGGGCGATAGGGGTTTGTTGTAACTCTGCTTTATAAATTATATAAAGTAAAGTTACTTCTCTACTTTATAAATCACCATTACTATGGAACTGGTGGGCGGTTAGAAAATTTTAATACTACCAGAAATACAAAAGTGGGTGGTAGGTATAAAAAGGTTGACTGCCCCTGGCCTACAGGATGCAAATGACATTGACTATCATCTCAACTGAATCACACCTTAATTGAAAAACTGGCAAGAACTAGCACCAGAGGGCGTGGCCAAAGAAATTCAATTTAGTCCTTGGGCAGAAGGCAGAATTTAACCCATGCTTGGACTCTCCCGCTGCACCCAGAAAACAATCGTTCAGGGAAGCCAACAATCATTCTTGATCCCAACTCTTCTTGTCTTATCACAAGTTTCCATTTAACTTTTATCTTTCTCTTAACAAATCCAACTTTGCTTACCACATGACAAAATAGGAGAAGCACATTTGCTCCTTTTAATAAATATTCATTTTGTGCAATAATCTACATACTTCTGTTTATTTTTCTACCAGTCCTAAGTGTCTTGAAATTTCTCCATCTGTTTCCCATATGTAGTAATAATTCTATAACGCTTTACAACTTCATCTACTTCTTCAGTTTTTATCATAAACTTTTCCTTTACCTTGTCAACATATCTATTTTGGAGTTTGATTTTCAGACCTAATCTTTCTGGTGTCATACAATATATCTAACGTTTGTTACAAATCATTTGGATTCTCAACTAACAATATTGCTTTATTCAGAAGTATATGTATTTTACTCAGCACACCTTGAACAACTCCACAAGTATTTCTTAATATTTATCCAGAAATACATTTAAGTACTATTTAATTAAGGACATAGCATATAATTTTGTTTATTCTCACACGTGGTTTACTTCCAACGTATACTTCTTATTAGGAGTCTATTAGCAATCAACCTCCAACTCCATATTCACACAGAATTTTCCATACTGCATACTGTTCACTTTACCATACACATTCTCTGAATAAATAAAGCACAATAAAGACAGTACAATAAACTTTTTGCCCTCATTGATGGATTTTGGTTTTGATTATGATGAATCTGAATTTGTTGTGATAAATTCGGGCCAGTTTTCTTTTAATGCAGCTATTTCCACTTAGCTGAGTTAATTTAACATGAAATTTATTTCTGTATTTAGAAGACCAACTTGGGATATCTGTATCTTTTTTGTGGGCCATTAGGAAGTTTCTATCCTCATAATATAATTGCAAAGCAGTTTCCCCTGATTGTTTGCCAAGGAGATAAAGTCTTCCTGTACAGATGGCAATAACTGGTTGTGTGGAGACAGAACAATAAATGAGATTTATTTCTGGCATAATGCAACAGATTTGGCAAGTTGACCATTGTAAGCTATTCATTAACAGTTTCTAAGGGCTATAAAAGCATTTTGGGTTTATTTGGGAGAGGAAATGTGGTCTCTTTACTATCCTTTATGAACCTGAATAAAATACTGCATCCTGGATGCAACCAGGTATCCTCCTTGTGGTGGTACTCCATAAAAGGCAATGTATGAAAACTTGCTCTATGAACCACATTATGTATTATATTTATTATACTTAATTATAATACTACTATTATACTATACTATTTCAAATAATCTTTGAAAGCTAATTGCTTGAGGTAAGGATTTCCCCACTCACATGAAAAATCTGTTGAATATGCTGCATCAAGGAAACAAATGTTATTTCAAGTTCTCTTTTTCCTCTTTTCCCGGGATATGGGAACATGAACAAAAGGTATAAACCATGCATGCATAATATTTCTAAATAAAGAGTTCATATAGAAACCATGATTTAAAAAAAGCAAATAAACTCACAGAGGAACTTTCAATCGGGTTTAATCTTTGAGAAAACTGAAGATGGGAAGGAATTATTTTGTATGCTTCATAATGGGGAATGGAGGTGGGCTTGTTCATAGAGTTACATTGTGCCCAGCCAGTTTTTGACGTTGTTAGTCTCAGCCCTTTATTGGCATCTGTTTCTGGACTCTTACAGAAAAATGGTCAAATACAGAATAAGGAAAATGGGTTGAGCAGTAAGCAATCTGTAATGCCCAATAATGGATGTATTTTCAGGAGGGGAGGAGAGTGAAGAGAATTATCCATATACAGAGGTTTGCATCACTTATCTGGCTGGAATTTTCCTGCTCAAAAGGGGAAAATAATTAAGATATTGCAGTTGAGTTAGATTTTTTTGGTCAACCCCTGAAATCTAACTATGAGATTCACATTTCAGAGACCAAAATAGCTTTATGTAACAAATGTCATTTCCTGTGTTATCTAAGTTTCCTTTATTTTCAAGACTTAAATATTGTATCCATCTTCACTCTATTTCTGTCATCTTTTGTTAGAAGTGCATCATAAGTTTCAGTTTAAAGTTTTTAGTTAGTAAATCAGAACATTCAAATATAAATTTGATTGTGATTTATTCATGATGACTTTTTTAAAAAAAAATAAAAGTTAGCATTATTGTTTTTGATTTCACAGAAGTATAGATTTTTAAGGCAGATCCCCCCCCCCTCGCCCAAACTATCTGATGCATCAATTGCTATCTTCTTTGGAAACATGATTAATATTCACCTTGAACCAAAAACAATATTGATAGTGTCTGAATATATTTTATTTCCTATCGTCAGTTTTATTCAGTGTATTGAATGCTAATCTCTTATGTGTTTCAAAGAAAAACACATAGGTTTAGAGAGTTTAAGCAGTATAATTAAGAAATACTAACAAAGCTGAAATATAAAAGTTGATTGTATTAAGTCAGATATAGACAATCTAAGCCTTCAAAAGCAGCCCTCAAATCCCGCATTTGAACTTTTCCAGGTATTTTGAAATGAGAGCATGCACAAAGTATAGTATGGAGCCAGTAAGTTTAGCATAGCATTTCAACTAATAGATAGGTTTATGTTAATAACCATGGCAACCCACCTCAAAAAACAAAACAAAACAAAAACACTTGGACTCTTCCATGTAGTTTCATAGATTGCCTGCTTAGCCCCACCCTTTATATCTATTATTCTTAAGCAATTCTGTTAAGTATCGGTTGCTGCATTTAAACCTTCCATTTCAAGATAAGACTTCCAGATGGAAATTATCAAGAATAATGATTCTTTATTAATTAACATTCAGAAATTTCTGTATTTCTTTGTTAGTCCAGTAGTCTGGATTTTATTTATTTATTCTTTTGGTAAATGGAAAGAGCTACATAATCTGAAGAAAAACTAGATTATTTTGATTTTGTAATAAATATTGGTTGACAAATTGAAAGTTTCTAAACTACAGCAGTCTGTTTGTCTCAAAGGGCTACATATATAGGCCACTGTATTCTTGAATCTTTGTTGCAGTAAAGTTGTATCTTACTATTGATAATTCAATTAGCATCATATTAGTTATTCTGCCTTCAGAGATAATTGCATATATTATTAGAAAACTCGTAACTCAGCCGGCCTGTTGTAAGTGGATTTCCATCAAATTTCTGAGACCACTGAGAAAATTAAAGATGCAAGAAGGAATCCAAACAAGACAACAAAGATGATAGAGGAAATCCAAGGACCACAAAATACTCACTGATTCTGAGAGAGAGAGAAAAAAATGGGAAACTGGTAGTGGCAGAGAGGACTGAATAAATGCAGAGGTGCTTGACTGATGTGCTCAGAGCTAGTCCTACTAGTTTGAAAAATAATGGGTTTTAAGTAACAGGTTTTAGAGAGATGTATCAATTTGGTAATTACTGTATTTTTACAGCCATTAAAATGTAAGGATTCTTGTGTAACATTCTACACATTTCAGAGGAGCTTTAAGATAGCTAAACAGAAAATTGATGTGGTTTGGTTTCTTAATTGTGTTTTGTTGCTAATTTTAATTTGTTTGCTACACAGTACCATATGTCAAATGAACACCCTTCCTTTCCTTTTTTGAGCCCTAAAGAGTTATAAATGTTTCAGTTGAGGGAAAAGAAAAAGATCCACCCATTAGTATTTCTAATGGAATTTGCAGTGCTGGTAACTTCGAGTTTGTGTGTTCTTCTTAATTATGTTGAATCGTGACTTCTCTCAACATCTTTTTACAGCTCATCATGTTAAAACTGGAACTTGTGAAGTGGTGGCTCTCCATCGATGCTGTAATAAGAACAAAATAGAAGAAAGATCACAGACAGTTAAGTGCTCCTGCTTCCCTGGACAGGTAGCAGGTACCACTCGGGCAGCTCCTTCTTGTGTCGATGGTGAGATATCTTTGGTGCTTTGTTCTTTCTTTTGGAGTTGTAGCAGATGGATTAAAAAAATGGAATAGTGGACTCTCCATTTTTTTTAATTCTAGAAAAGACCTCAGATAGCTAGATGAAGGAAATATCAACATATCTGCTGAATTTTGGAACAACCTCTTAAATTCTAGACAAAGCTTCTACCCACTGTTCTATTTTAATGCTGAGGGTAAAGGTAGGAAATTTTAGGTGTTTTTTTAGCTTTCTGAGCAACTTTTGCCTTGGTTAATGGCTGTTCCGTTCTTTATAAAGTAGCTAATTAATTTTTGGGAATTATTTGTAAGGAAGAAAAATGTTCCAGAAAAGAGCAAAACCTAACCTTTCTTGTTAAGTGATCACTGCGGTTAAGTTAGTAACATGTTAAGTGAATCTAACTTTCGCCACTGACTACTTGTCAGAAGTCCCAAAAGTGATCACATGACCCTGGGACACTTCAACTGTCATAAATAAGAATCGGTTGCCAATCATTCAAATTTTGATCATGTGTCCATGGGGATGCTGCAATGATTGTAAGTGTAATAAACAGTTACTTTTTCCAGTGCCCTTGTAATTTTGAATGGTCACTAAATAAAGTATTGTAGGTTAATGACTACCTGTAATCTATAGCCTTTATACTAGGAAACTTTATTACATTTATTTTGTTCATTTGGACATCAGACTACCTTTTGTTTTGTTTCATCTGATGCAAATAGCAAACATCAGAACATACAACAATTCCAGCCAGGAATTATTTATTCATACAATGCACACATATGTCTCATAAACTTTTTTTTAAAAAAGCATGTTGGATGAGATCAAATACTGTTTAATCCAATGTCCATCCCTTCTATAGGATATAAATGTAACAGTACCTCAGTATAGTATTAATATTTCTCACCAATGTATACCGTATATTCACCCTGATAATATTTCCATGATATAAGGGCAACAAAGATTTAATTAAAAACAATAGGCTTTTCTCTTCCTCTTCTTCAGCCTCAATTGTAGAACAAAAATGGTGGTGCCATATGCAACCATGTCTTGAAGGGGAGGAATGCAAAGTTCTCCCAGATCGAAAAGGATGGAGCTGTTCATCTGGGAATAAAGTGAAAACAACAAGGGTAAGTAGGAATTTGCCATGAAATATAATTGCCAGATTTTGTAAAGAGAATTATGAACTTGATACAGATGAATAATTCTTAGATATGGAATAAATATAACAGAGAAAAAAATAATTGGCTTGGACATCTATCAAAATCAATATAATAAGTTATTTATGAATATTTTACTTTGACGGCTTTATTCTAAGTATGATTGTATCTAGATCTAACAATTATTTTGATTTAACTGTTATCATGATAATTATTTATAATTGATCTGCATGCCTTGAAATTTAATATACACTCTTAGAGATGAGCCAAACTGGATGTAGTCAGATTCGTATGTTGAGCTAAATATTTTGTGTATCCATAAAATTGGATTGTTTGTTTATCAAGCACATTTATTCTGCTGATTATCATAAGTTCAAAAATTCAAGTTATTCATTCAATAAATAAAACATGTATTCTAAGTTTTAGCCTTTGTTTAGATTGATTTCATGATGAAAACAGAAGAAAGAACTTTCTTAAGAGGCAAGTCAGTTTTATCATGCAAATCTCTGATTCACTCCTTAATTAATGTTACTTTTGATTTATCCTAATATATATTTTGCTTAATCTTATTTGCTTTTGTCCAATATACATATATAGAGAGTAAGTCATATTGAAAATAATTGATCTAACTCTTGGATTGTTTTTTGCCAAGTAAACTTAGTGTTGTGGCTTGTTGGCTGCCAGCAGAGCTAGCTGCAGGCTCAGATGAGGAGGAAGTGGAGGGAGAGCTTGGGACAGCTTTGGAGCCTATGGAAGGCTCTGATGAGGAAGCAGCAGCAGAGGCAGAGCTGGGGCCTTCCTGCCTCTCCCAGCTGTCTTTGGAGTCTGAGATGAGTGAGAACAGATGGAGCCCATCCCAGATGTGTGTATACACAGAGAGGAAAAGAGAGGAGAACTAAGGAAAACAATAAGCTGGATCTCAAAGCAGACGTGGACGCTAGCCAACCCCGCCTTGGCTGAGATATAAATAGTAGGGGTTTGGGAGTGGCCGGTTGTCACAGACAACTGTTTGCTTTTAGGATACAGCAAATAATTCGGATTTCTTGGCCAGGTCTGTTGGAACTAATTACAATTGATTACGTTTTGATTAGGTAATAATTAAAAATGTCCTAATGAGTGGACTTACCATGTAGCGACATCTCATAGAATCTACTTTCTGTTTCCCCTTGCTCTACATGTTCTGACCCAGTCTTAGTAAGTAATGATAAGTTGGTTACTTGCAAGTGCACACAAACCACGTGAATAAAAGACTGTACCTACCCTGTTTGAAAAGGGATTTGTTTGTACTCGCAAGTCAGTGGCTTATCACTCCTTGCTAAGTCCACTCATTTGGAAATTTTTAATTAATACATGTCAAGATGGAAATGACATTAGTAGGAAAATTCCACAAGAAAGTCAATATATTATCTCTCCCTCAGACAAAGAGCTGGTCTTGTCTCATTTTCTGCTAGAATAATGTGACACCAGATACCTGGTTTCCAGTAAGTGAAAGAGTAAACAATGAAATCATGTTGCTCTGCAATGTATGCTCTGTCCAAAATGAAACTTGAAGGCTTTAATGATTCCCCAAATGGCTCTAAATTAATACACTCCCCCACCTAGCCATTATAATGACATAATTCATACAATAATGCAATCATCTGGTGTTCATGACTATAGCATTCACTATATATCTTTGCTCTATTAGGGCTACTCCTATTTAATAAGCTATTCTACTTAAGAGAAAAATGAATGGCAAGACTCTGTACCTAGAAATCTTATTTATCTTGAAACTAAGGCTGATACTAATGTCAAAGATGTTTCTTGATACACTGGTATCTGTCCTCCCACACACATTCAATCACACATTCATATGCAATTTAGGCAACTGCAAAGTAGGACAGATACTGCTATCAGTGCTGATAAAAATACTAGAAATATGATTATAGTTTTTCCTCCTGCTTTCTTTTTCTTCTCTCAGAAATAGAATATAGCACATATTATGATTTGTTGTGTTTTATTTATCTTGGAAAATTAGTATATGCATGTACTATACCAACATTACTTGTTGATTACAGCTTTCCCCTGATTAGAAATTCTGGATGTTGCAGTCCCAACACATCTAGAATAAACCAAAATTGAAGAAAGTTGAAATTAAGTCTCTGTTAGATAAGGGATGTGGTGGCTCAGTGGCTAAGGCGCTGAGCTTGACAATCAGAAACTGTCAAGTTACAAGACCCTTGCACCCCTAACCCTTTAGGAAAAAAACCCCCAGGGGTGTTCAAACTTGACAGCTTTAAGACTTAGCAATAGCAATAGCAGTTAGACTTATGTACCGCTTCATAGGGCTTAAAAAGCCTTTGGTATTTGATCGACCTCTTAAACCTGCAACTTGCTTGCCATGTAGTTGGATCACAGCCCATTAAGATCCAGTGGCTCAAAGCTGGGAGAGAGCTTAGATCCTCTGATAAATGCAGCTTCAGCTTTGCAAATGAAACAGCTCTCTTAGAGATCCAAGCATTTACTAAAACTGATTCTGCGGAATATGTGTGCAAAGTCAAAAGTGGCAACGAAAGGTTCAGTTAAACTGAATATTTAGAGAGAGAACAACAATTCAAAGGCTGCCTGATCCTCCCTTGCTCGCTCACCGGGAAGCTCTGGGAAGCCGCGAAAGCAACTGGGCAGCACCGAGAACCTTCCTGCCACTGCTAGACATCGCGGTGTTCTCTGGGCTTCCTGGCGAGTGAGCGAGCAAGAGAGGATCAGGCTGTCTGATCCTCCCTCATTCGCTTGCTCGCCGGGAAGCTCTGGGAAGCCGCGGAAGTGGCTGGGCCGTGCCAAGAACCTTCCTGTCTCCACTGGACTTTGCGGTCTTCTCCGTGCTTACTGGCGAGCGAGTGAGGGAGGATCAGGCTGCCGGAACTCGGAGGAGGCCTAATCGGTGAGATCTAATAGGTCGCGTGGAGGTAATCGGCAGTAGG